AAAAACAAAACAAAACAAAACAAAAAAAACCTTGATTAAAAAATGGACAGAGAATGTGAACATGCATTTTTCCAGAGACATACAGATGGTCAACGGGGACATGAGAAGAGACTCAACACCACTACTTATCAGGGAAATGCAAACCAACACCATAGTGAGATATGACCTGACACCTGTTAGAATGGCTAATATCAAAAAGACAAGAAATAACAAGTTTTGGCAAGGATGTGGAGTAAAGGGAACACTTGTGCACTGTTGGTGGGAATGTAAACTGGTGCAGCTACTGTGGAAAACAGCATGGAGGTTCCCCCAAAAAATTAAAAATAGAACTACCATATGACCCAGAAATTCCACTTCTGGGTATCTACCCAAATAAAGAAAACCCTAAGAGAGAAAGAGAGAGAAAGGAGGGAAGGAAGGAAGGAAGGATGGAATGATGGATGGAAGGAAGGAAGAAAGAAGAAAGAGGGAGGGAAAGAGAGAGAGAGAAAGAAACAGAGAGAGACAGAGAGAAAAAAGAAAGAAAGAACGAATGAACTTGAAAAGATATGAATGGCCACATTCACTGCAGCGTTATTTATAAAGCCAAGACATAGAAACAATCTATGTGTCCGTCAGTGGATGCTTGGATAGAGAAAATGAGGTATACACATATGCATACACAAGTATTATTGAGCCTTAAGAAAGAAAGAAACCTTGTCATTTGTGACTGCATGGATGGAACTTCAGGACATTAGACTAAGTGAAATAAGTCAAACAAAGACAGTATGATATGATTTCACTTCTAACTGGAATCTTAAAAAAATACTAATAACTAAAAAAAAACAAGAGAACAGATGGGTGGTTGCCAGAGGTGGGGGTGAGGGTGGGCAAAATAGGTGAGGGAGTCAAACGGCACAAGCTTCCAGCTATGAAAAAAATAAGTCCTGGGGATATAATGTACAGTGTGGTGATGACAGTTAATAACACCGTATTGTACGTTTGAAAGTTGGGAAGAAAGTAAATCTTAAAAGTTTCCAAGGGAAAAAATTCTATGACTATGTATGTTGATGGAAGTTAACTAGACTTATTGGAGTGATTATTTCACAATATACACAAATATCAAATCATTATGTTATATATTTATGTCAATTATGCCTCAATAAAAATATATATAAATAAAATTCTAAAGGTTACTTTAAAATTTATAGGAAGCAGAGGAGAAATAAGATGCCCACTTATAATTTTAATCAAATGTGCACAGTGAGGAATCACGTTGCTTTCACTGCCACCTCCCCAAACCCACCATCCACGTTAGTACCTATAAATAGCTACTTAGGATAGAGAACTCTCAAGAGATCCATAGCTATTACCCAAAGCCATGTGGGGCAGAACTGAAAGGATGAAAAGGAAAGAAGGAAGGGAATGACCAAGTTTAATTTCGGGGAGTGGGTAGGGTTACTATGTAGTAGTTCCCTAGGTTAACACCCCTCTTCCAAAACTGGAAGGCTTTTGATTCAGAGATACAAGACTCATCAAAGTCTACAATAAAATGTGCTTGCTATTCAGTAGCTCTTAGGCTACCTATGCCAGGAAAAGCAAAAAGCCTGGCATCTTTTCACTTTTTGCATATGCAAAACAGCAGGTCAGATATATCCTGGATCTCTCTCATCCCTGAGAATCACAGAGTTAATAGTATGTGTCCTGGGAAATGGAGGGTTTGGCTCAGTTAGAAGCACCATGCCCATCATTTATGACAGTATCTTTTGCCCTTATCGTCTCTTGAGTCCCAAGATGTGGCTTCAAATAAAGGCTACTATCCCTGACCTCCATTTTAGTGGAACTTCTATCATCCTTTAGAAGCAAATATTCTTTCTTAATAAAGTCTCCCAAACTCACTTGGAGGGAATGACTCCCAAAAAAGAAACTGACCATCCCACACTCACAAAAGCACAGGTTTACTATTTTGTCATTAGGACCTGAGTATCACTCCAAAATAATGACATTGCTAATGTATTTTCTCTTTTCAAGGCAATTTGAATACTATCCAATTCAATTATTGAAACTCTTTTCTGGTCATGCCAAAATTTAAACAAAAAATGTCTCATGAACCTCAGTTTTTAAAACAGGCTCGGGTGCATGGCTGGCTCAATCAGTTAAGTGCCTGACTCTTGACTTCAGCTCAGGTCATGATCTCAGGGTTGTGAGATCGAGCTCCACATCAGGCTCCACTCTGAGCACAGAGCCTGCTTAGGATTCTCTCCTTCTCTCTCCCTCTTCCCCTACCCCCGAACCCATTCATGTGCTCTCCCTCTTTAGAATAAAGAAATAAATCTTTTATAAATAAATCTTTTATAAATAAATACATAAACAGATAAATGAATAAATAATATTGGCTCAAGCAACCCACTCTCCTTGCAGTTTAGTTCTGTCCAAGTTTTCCAACATTGGAAGAAGTTGTTCAGAAACCCTCAGTTTCTCTGCTGCAAATGCATTTGCTAGGTCACCCAATGACTCTGAACAATGAACAAACAAAATCACAACAAAACAGGAAACTAGACCCATACAAACTCAGACTTCAAACAGGCAGTCATATTTTGTTCTACCTCCTTCTCTGGCTTTCTCTCACTCTGCCGCTTGTCCAGCACACAGATGACCCGTCTTTTTTTTTTTTTTTTTAAGATTTTATTTATTTATCTGAGAGACAAATATCACAAGCAGGCAGAGAGGCAGGCAGAGAGAGACGGGGGAAACAGGCTCCCCGCTGAGCAGAGAGCCCAACGCGGGGCCCGATCCCAGGACCCTGGGATCACGACCCGAGCCGAAGGCAGAAGCCTCAACCAGGTGCCCCCAGATGACCAGTCTTACCATGTACTCTGTTTGGTCTACAATAAACATGCAGCAAATTGCCCATGTTTAATGGTCTGAATGACAACATATATCTAATACATTCATTTCAAAATAAACAATTCCAGTTTTTCCCTTTATCCAAAGCAGAGATCAGCAGCCTAATATAAACCTAAACAAACTGTAATTTTTTTCCCCTCTAAAATTACAGTATGGACCTAGGGCTAAAACCTCAGTTTACCTACAAAAGAAGGTAGTGGCTGTGATCTAGAGCTAACCTTCAGAATGTTGCTTCAACTTTTTAAAAGTGTAATATTCAGTATTTTTTAGCCATGGTTTTCAAAAACTTTGAGGAAGTAAATATTTGCTTTTGACTCTTCTGCTGTTTAATCTCCGCTGGAGACCATATCCCTTGCTAGTGCGTCTGCCTCACCTTGCTGGGTAGAACTCTCAGTCCGCATCACTGAATGGAACAGTGGGGCTCCCTGGTGCAGACTTCCTGCGAGCCTCCTCCCTGAGCATGTGCCAAGAATCAAATCTTGGCCACTTAGTGCTCTGGGCTCCACATGTGAGCTCACGGCGCGTTGAGCAGCCGTGCTAACTGAGATGGATAGGCCTGTCAAACAGGAAGCTGGCACACCGGGACGCAAGCCGTGGGACACAATGACCTTTACATTCAGAAAAAAATGTCCCTAAAATGGCATGAAAAGTTTATGGGGGGGAAAAAGCGGGTCTCCTTTATTTCATTTAGGCACATGGCATAAAATAAAAGCGATGGTGCCCAGTATGCAATTTGCTCGGGATCAAATCCTGAATCCCTTACAGAAGAAAGAAAGTCGTCAGAGAAAGGAAATGAATCATCCTTTATCACGCTGCTTTGAAAGCAGTGGACTCGACAGTTCAGCTGTCATTACGGCACCCGGCAGGCCAAGCGCTCGGTTTCAGACCACGCTTGGGCTCAGAGTGATGCACGGGGTTACTGCCTCCCTGGGAAAACATTCTTGACCCCTGGTTTCAGATGGGTCACTCTCTTGGTAGAATTAAAATCTAATTTAAATACTTAAGCATTTTTTGGACAGTGATGATCTGCTCACAGAATCAGAGTCAAGGGCGTGGATATTAAATCCCATGTCCTTGTTCGCCATGTTTACAACTTTGTATATATCACTTAATCTCTTACCTTTTTTTCATCTGAATAAATGGAGGCTCTGACTGACAATTCCTAGGAATTGTATGAAGAGGGACTCATAAAAAAAGTTTGCAAATCTGTGGCACATATACCAATGTTAAGTAAGAACAGTAATATAGAAAATTAATATATGAAGCAAGACCTGAATTTAACACATTTTTCTCCTTTGGTTATAACCATTATCATAAATTGTACAATTCAATCATTTCAGCTGAAATACAATAATCATCATTCCATTGGGTCAATTTTTTTTTCCTATTTTTCAAGGTTTGGGGGATGTTTTTATGTTATTTGTTCTGTCAGCACAAGCTCACAATGGGCTCGCCGGGTCTGTACAATACACGCAGAAATCGAGATGCAATTTTAATGATTAGTTAAATAGATAAAATGAACTGATCACAAAGACACTGAGATTTTTGCTGCTGTTGTTGTTGTTGTTATTATTTTTGTTGTTGTTGTTTTGTTTCATTTTGGTTTTTTGCTTTTGTTTTACTGAATGGACTACCCTGAAACTACAGAGCAGTTTTCAAAGATACAAAAGTTTGGTAATTTTTTGTACTTAATTAGAAAGCTGATTGTAAAGTGCAGAAGCTGCAGGCCCAACGCAAGAAATAAATTTAGAAAACCAAAATCTTATAAATCACGTATTCAAGTTTGGATAAGTTAGGATCAGACACCTCCGCACTCTGAGAACCCCACTGTAGGCACTTAGAGAAAATAACAGCAACTCTCAGTGCCAACAAACCTACGATGATCACTTCAACATATGAGTTTATTTTGGTGGCTCTAGAGGTGCTGGTCAAATGCTTCCCGAAGCACTCAAACAATACGCAACAAGGAACATTCCACTGCTAGCTGTTTGGAAAAGATGTTAGACCTGACCATTCTCCTCCAACCCTTGTTTGGAGAATTATTTCAGGAATTGCGTTCTTCCTCAAATCATGACACACAGAGGCACCGGAGGGGAGGGGACACGCGGTAATACCTTGTGCCTGAGCTGCGGAGCTGTGGGAGTACCCCAGGGCCAGGAGCGCGGTCTCCACCAGCTGGCTAAAAAGCACATCTTTTCGAACCAGGACGAACTCCGCGTGTTCTTCTCTGTTGTCATATTCAAGAGAGCCATCCAACTGCTCCACCACACAAAAGACAGGAATCATCAAACCTGGAGAGACAAAATTCAAGAGCAAAACACAAACATTACAAAGCAAATCTCAGTCACCATGATGAGAAGGGAAGAGACAGTTATAAAAGTTACTCATCTGTGATCGACAATGGTTTAGATTAAACAAGCCTCTTAGTTGGATGGGCCTAATGGGAAAGCTGTGGATTTTTTTTTCCCTTCCTTATTACTATCAGACTGCAGCAGAATTGCCCTGGGCAAAGGCAGAAGCCCTCAGATGCCAGTCATTAAACTGTCGAGTGTGGGGGCGCCTGGGTGGCTTAGTAGGTTAAGGCCTCTGCCTTTGGCTCAGGTCATGATCCCGGGGTGCTGGGATCGAGCCCCGCTTGGGGCTCTCTGCTCGGCAGGGAGCCTGCTTCCTCCTCTCTCTCTGCCTGCCCCTCTCCTCTGCTTGTGATCTCTATCTGTCAAATAAATGAATAAAATCTTTAAAAAAAAAAATGTGGAGTGTGCCCATCAGAGGTATCCTGACTGAGACCCTGACTCCAGAGCTGGCACAAAGCGGAGGTCAAGGTGACCTTCCAGACCCTCATATCCTTCATGTCTATGGTTTTATCATTAACTATGAATCAGGACTAGTATTTCCAGATCAGATCTGCTTTTGTCTGCAAATGCTGTAAGTTACCTAGGAGGGAGGAATATTTGATTTCTGGGCCTAAGCTATCATGTGAATATGTCTAAGAAAGTCAATGGGAATTTTTTAAAGGTCCCTCTTGTATCTTCTATCTAAGTCCTGGCAAACAGGTCACCAATGAGCCTGAAAATATCCCGCTCAGGAAAATCTTAACTGGCATTTAACTTATGTCAAAATATACATACAAATGTAAAACTCGGTCCTTTTTTAAATTATTATTTAACATATTAACACCAGCTACCCCTATTAAGGGAATTATCTCTTCTTGTGTTTTCAGAGAAAAGTAAACTACTCTAAAAAATAAAGCAAATTAGTCTAGTTGAAAATCTGTTGAAATCTGTTGTCACTGAAATATTTCTCTGCTTTGTATCAAAGTGTGAAAAGCTAAAAAATGTTTAATTCGCCCAAGATTTTTTATAAACTGTTTTTTTATTTTTAAAAAAGTCATACAGGCATTTAAATCTAAACATAGCCAAGGCATAAGAAGATCAAAGTTTTACCAACATACAAGTAATAAACATGGACTCTGCCCCATGTAATTCACACAAATTAGTATGTTATGGAATAAGATCTGTTCTGGGTCTTCTCTCTTCTTGCAAGAAAACCAAAAGTTATGAGGGACAGGTGGGTAAGCCGAGACAGGGGGGAGGTGGACAATCGGTTGGTCACTGCTGAAGACACTTCACAATAAAGATAAGACCTCTGTGTAAATGACACGCCGGAGCTCTGCCTGTGAGACACAGAGGACACAGGAGTTTCTGTAAAAGCCCCTCCCCCTGCCTAGCCCCTAGAAGCCTCCTGACTCACTCTGATCTGGAAAGCAGAGGGTGGGAGCAGACACTCTGCAAACTACCAGGTCACAGATGTAGATTTTTGTTCTAAAGATAATACAATGGTGCAACTGGTTCCCACGTGCTAATTATTATTATTAAAGATAATAAGTATAGGGTGTAATTATTAAATATAATCATTATTAACAATAATAATACTCATTAAGAATTGTTATCATTAAGGATCACGGTAATTATTATTAAGCCAGCACAACAGTCTAACAGGTCACACCATACCATTCCCCGGGACAACTATCAACTCCGTGTTCACTCTTAAGAACAATAAGACAGCATTATTGTTTGTAGCAAATACACTATCTAAGGTATAGATTTATAGAAAATAGGAAATAAGGGCGGAACAGACTGATCATTTTCGACAAACAAGGGAATTTAGCCTGGCCCCATGATGCCTTATAAAATATTTTTTTAGAATTGTGACCAGTACTTGCCTATCAGATGCTTACTTATTTATGCCCAATTTATTCCCAAATGTAGGTAAGACATGAAATGAATATATAAATTACAGTGCCTCCAAATTATCTTTGTGCTCATTCATTTATCCAATTTTTATTCCCTGAACACCTATTGTGTGCAAGGTAACCCCTGTGGCTGCAGAATGCAAGCAGGTACAAGTCTGATGTGGCTCCTGCCCTCAACGCAGCTGAAGGGGCTGTAAAATCTTCCTGAGCAAGCATCATGGCATTGTACAGGATCTATCCACCAGAGTCCTTCCCAGCAGGGAGCAGCCCCCATTTAGACCTTTTAACTCTTACATACTGGTATAGATCTTTGCCCAAGGAAGCGGGTTGATTTCTACTTTCAATGATTTCAGCGTATGCACACATAGGGCCATACAGTCAGTGGTGCCATAAGCTACTTCATCACTAATACCTATGTGTACATAAGTTTCAACGCTTAAAATCATGTGCAGTTCCTAATGTCAACATCTGAGTGTCACACATCTGGGAATCACAGATAAGGTCTTTCAGCGAATCCAGCTACCCCCAGAAGCTATCATGTATCCATTACTTAGGAACCATAAATCATTCTTAAGTCTATGATCAACTAAAAAAAACCTAAGACCCTATTAATTTTTGAAAATAATATTAACAGTTCATTCAGTGAGATATGAGATACAACATTAAAGCACAGGTGTCTATGCCATTCAGGAACTTATTTTTTGAAAGTGTCAGTTACCAAAATATTTCCTAAACATTTTAGTTCAGTGATTAAAGAAAGCAATTGTTATCTGACATCAGAGCAATAACTTCTTCAAGTCAAAAAGCATCACCTATTTTGAAAATAAGAAAGAGAGAGAGAGAAAGGGAGAAAGAAAGAAAAGAGGGGAGGAGGGGAGGAGAGAAAAGGCCTTTGAGGTCATTTATGAAATAAAATATTAATCATAAATGTCTGACAACAGAATTTACTCTGAAAGCACATATATATGAGCATTTAAAAAATAAAGAGGCTATATAAAAAGTACTTTTATAGGATTGTATAGATCTAAACAATTATGAAATTTGTACAGTGAAACACATTTTTTACAAAAGAAGAGGAAAAATAGGTATGACTACTAGTGACAACAGCAAGAGAAATGAAAAATGGTAAAACAATTCAGTTGGGGTCAAATATGAGGAAAAAGAAATTAAGGCATAGGTTTTAAAAACTTAAAAACAGCAAATCCCTGGGAAAGAAAACTAAATAAGGGTGAGTAGGTATAATAAGAAAAGACATCCATTTGGTGCCCCCCCTCACTCTCTCTAGGCAAAAAGAGAGAAAAAAAGAAAAAAAGAAAGCGAGAGAGAGGGAGGGAGGGAGGGAAAAACAGAGAGGGAGGGAGAGAGAAAGAAAGGAAGGAAGGAAGGAAGAAGTGACAATGGCTGAAAAGATGGGGAGAGTATTTGAAAGCAATTCAAAAAATAAACTAAGTATGAGAAGAATTAAAAGGCAGGTTCCAATAAAAGAATAACAATGTAAAACTGAAATGTATTTATAACAAAATTTAGAAATGATCAAGAAAAAAAAGAAAAAAAACTCTGATTCTAGTGCTGTATCTGGAACTTTTGGCATTATTTCTCTTTTATTGTAGCACAGACCCATTTCCATATGATCAAGTAGGGAACTTTGAACCCTTTGATTATAAGCCTCCCTAAGCTTTTTACAATTGTGGCATGTTAAGCAGGTAGTTTATCTAAAGGACAGGCACACAGTCCCAGCCATTGGCTAGGAATTAAGAGTTGTTCTGACAGTTGGGACAAAAGAGAATTCTGTTGTCACAGGGACAAAGTAAGCCGGAGATTCCTTCCACTAGAAAAATGCATTCTCCCAACTGTCATTAGTTCCAACGCTCAAATTGTCATTTTCATTGTGACATTATTTCTGAAGAAGTGTGTGTGATGATAAAGGTAACCTAATCTTCGCCACAGCGGCCATGGGAATAGAGACAAAGGGGAGATGGTCAAACGTGGTGGTGACCAGCTCTGCCACAGCAGGCAGGGAACTCTAGGATCAAATCCTGGCACGGTCATTCTTTGCCTATTGTAGTGACCTTGGGTAATTTATTTGACCTCTCTGAGGCTCAAATTCCTCCCAGGTAATATGCAAATAAAAATATCTACATCACAGAGTTGTCGTGAGGATTAAAGCATTGTGAAGTAGTTTTCTGGCCTCTCTCAAACAATGGAACCTGTTTTCCTTTTTTTCTTGTTTTTCTTTTTTTCAAAATCAGTATTCATACCAGTAATTAGTGCCATTAACACAAAATAAGAAACCAATCATTTTTTTCAGGGTCCATAATCAATGATCACGAAACTCACTAAAAAGCTTTTCTTCAGAATAAAAATGATACTCATAATCACTGAATTCCTTAAGATGTTCAATGTGCCCCAAGCAAAAGGGTGAAAGCTTTAAAAACATTCTATACTCCAAAGCTGCTTGCCCTACACTACGATAGCTATTAGCCACATGTGGCAACTAAAACCTTGAAATGACTAGTGATGAATGGAGATGTGCTGTAAGTATAAAATACACACTCAATCTCAATGATTTAATACCAAAAAACAAATAAATATAGCATAAATAATTTTTAAAAATCAGCTGCAGGGAGAAATATTTTGGATGCCCTGAGTTAAATAAAATATATCATCAAAATCAATTTCACCTGTTTAACTTCTTTTATTTATTTATTTTTTTAAAGATTTTATTTATTTATTTGACAGACAGAGATCACAAATAGGCAGAGAGGCAGGCAGAGAGATAGAGAGAGACCGGAGGAAGCAGGCCTGTGGCTGATCCAGGACCCTGGGATCATGACCACAGCTGAAGGCAGAGGCTTTAACCCACTGAGCCACCCAGGTGCCCCTGTTTAACTTCTTTTAAATGAAGCTATTAGAAAATTTAAAACAGTCCACGTGTCTCCTATGATATTTCTAGGAGAGCTGCTCTAAGCAATCTGCCAGCACAGACATATACAATGGTTTTTCTGACACATGATAAAGTCATCACAAGCTGATAACTAA